AGAACTTTGTATATTTTACAGATTAGACCTATTTTCACTTTGAGAATATTCCAGAATCCTGTCATATTTTCCTTTCTGACATCTCTAAGACTCATCTTTTCCTGTGAGTCTCCAATCACTAAAATCCTTTCCCATAGTTTGGTCTTCTTTTTCATTTATTCCTTATAAATGCCTCCATTGTGGTCTTTATTCTTGAGTTCGCTCTCTGTTAAGGCAATCTTCTTGGTGCCTTCATTACAACATCTTTTTAAAATGCCTTCACTGGTTTCTCTCATCTGCATTAAATCTGGACATTAGGGACTTTCACTGTTCTTTGTTGCCTGATTCTTTTTTTTTTTTTTCTGTTGTTCTTGCTGGTTTTCCATATTTCTTCTTAATTTCTTAATACCTGAACTCTTTATATGTGTTTTTTTTTTAAATTTCCCTCATTCATTTTTGTTTTCCTAGGCAGTTTTAAAGCTGTCTCTTCCCCAGCCAAGAACATTTTCTTTCCCTTTCATATGCCAAACCCAGCCTCTAACAAGTTGTATCCTGTAACCCTTCTCCATTTCTCTCGCAGCACTCTTCCTCACATTTGCTAATGTCTCTCTCTTCCTTATGATAGTCTTTTTTTTTTTTTAAATCAGTGTACACTATAGCTATCTAATAGAGTATATGTGTGTCCCCTTTTGATACAATCAGATCTATCATCGATCAGGGAAGGTCTTTGCTATTAGTGCACTTGAGTACATGCTATTGCCTCCATTGCTACTACCTTTGTTTGGGGCTGACAATTACAATTACCACCCGGTTGGTCTCACTGCCTTGGTTATCTTTCCTGGTTATTCTGCCTTTACATCGTCCTCAGAGACGTCTTGGTGGTCTGGACCCCTTGCCTTCTTCAACAAAACAGAACAGCAAAGTTCTGGCTTTCCGTGGCCTAGAAAATAAAGTTCTTCTTCCTTAGGTGTGCATCAACAGTCTTCAGACCCTGGCTCCTCCTCACTGTTCCTGACTCACCCTATCACTTTTAACCCCAAATCCTAAATCTCAGTAACATAGAACTGCTTGAGGAGACAATTTACTATGTGTTGAGGTCAAGAGTGTTCTGCTAGAGACCAATATAGTCTGCAGAATTATTTACTATCTTTTAAAAATGAAAAAGATTTTCTGTAAATGTCTGTTTTCCTGGCTTCATCTCAGAAAATATGGCAACACTGTACCACCCACCCACCCAGCGGTAGAGGGTTGGAGTGGAATGGGAAAGCCCTCTTGGGTGAAGCAGCTCTGTCTGCAGTTTGCCATAGTTTCTGCACTCCTGTTTGCCTCCTCAACATTGAGGCAAAGCATCATTTGCCATTTATCACTGCTCTTGTGCTTTGTTTTATCCCCTAGTATTAGAAGAAAATTGTACCACATGTCTATAGATGAATCAAAGATGAGTCAATACTGTTTTGTTTTTCAAGATGTGCTATATGGGGCCCACTTGACACTATCATTGTCCTGCTCCTGCAGACATCTGAGTTGGATCTCTGACAGAGTGGCTTAGCACTAAGGGTCTGTGTTTACATTCTGGGTCCATCACTTTCTAGCTGTGTGGTTTGGGGCAAGTTACTTAAACATTCTCTACCTTAGTTTTCATATCTATAAATCGAAGATGATTTATGGAAAGTGCTTGATATATCTCAGCTACATTTTGTCATCATTATTATTATTCTGCTTTCCACAAATCTAATGATAAGAATGACAGATCCATGAGGGACATGGTTTGGGGCAGGCTTTGGGGCAAGGGGTCTTTTGGTGCCTATTAAACCACATCTCCCTAGTTATGAGTTTGCCACTTACTAGCTGTAGACTGGTCAAGTTATTTAACCTTACTATGGCATCATGTTGTCATATTTAAAATGTTAGTGATGACAGCATAATCATAATAATATCCACATTTTTGTTAATGATGCCTCATCTGAGATTACCACGTACTGAGCCAACCATGTACTATGTGTAATGGATGCCTGTCTGCCACATAGTAAGTACAAGTGAATAGTAGTTATTATTGTCATCAGCTGCCCTGCCTCTTGCCCAGGGAACATCACCCAGTAGTTGTGCGGTCCCAGGGAGCCAGGTGACCCACCTGCATGTTTTATGTGTTACCTCTGCATGGGCTTTTCAAAAATTGAGATATAATTCATATACCATAAAATTCACTTCTTAAAGTATACAATCCAGTGGTTTTCAGTATAGTCAGAAAGTTGTGCAATCATTACCACTAATTCCAGAAAGTCTTCATCACCTCCAAAAGGAAACTCCACACCCATTAGCAGTCGTTCCCCATTTCACTTTCCCCCCAGTCCTCCACAACCACTAATCTATTTTCTATCTCTATGGATTTGCCTATTCTAGACATTCCATATAAAAGGTATAAATGAAATCATATGATATATGGCTGTTCATGGGCTTTTTTTTTTTTTTTTTTGCCTGTGTGTTTTTCTGAGGAGTAAAGCTGCACCCTTTTCCAGAAAACAGATTTCTGCTGGGAACATGAAGGAGCCCCTAAGTAGGAAGTTTCAGTTAGGAAGACAACATCAGCCATTACTAACCTAAGAGAAACAAAACCAAACAGACTTAGATCCTAGGGGTCAATGTGAGTATGTTAAGAATTTTGAGGAGCAGCAAACCATTAGTATAAAGAAGCAACCAAGTTAGATTACCTTGAATTCTTTACAGCCTGACCCTCAACACACCGTGGGAATCTCAAATGTCCATCTGTGGACTTCCTGCCTTAGATTTACCTCACAGTTGGTGAAAAAGACACATTCTGGACCCTTTCTGAGGCTAACTGAATCAGAATTCCCAGGGTGGAGGTTGAGGAACTGCCAAAGATGGTTCTGCCAGGAAGTAGGTTTGGAAATTGTTGACTTACGTGGGGCAAGGTTATATGACATGGATACGGATCTGTGTTGTATTTCATCCTCAACAACACTGCTCTGTAATGTGGATGTTCTTTTTAAGTGAACATGTCTGATCTTCTTGGTAGAGTTTTACAGTTAGGGCTTATTTTTCTTTGCCCATCTCAGTCCCCTGCACACAGCTGTACACAAAGTAGGGGCTCAGCATATATTGGGTGATTGGTTACACAGGAGGCTTGAAGGCATCACTGGGATACTGCCAGACCCAAAGCCACTAAGGTCAACAGGTCTAAGAGGAGCACTTTTTGCCCATTCTAAACATTCTTTGTTTGAGATTTCAAGCCTGGTGTTTGTTTTCAGGGCTCTGATTTGTGACCCATAGTCAGGAGCCCTTTGATCTTTGGGTTCCAGAAGATGTCCCCAGAGCAGTCCCTTCACAGGGACCTCTCAGCCCTCTGTGCGGTGCTGGTAGGTAGAGGGGTGACCAAGTGTAGGGGTGGTTCCTATACTTGGAAGATCCCATGATGCTTGTTAACATGTAGATACATGTCCCTCACCCCAGACCCACTGAATCGAATTGTTGTCCATGAAGGGAAAATTGCTACCCAGATACTACCCAAATATTACTCTAGAGCTTGAAGAATATGACCTTCTGCCTATGTGTGGAGCACAATGTTCTGTGTTCATGGGAATTTACCTGGATAGGGCTATGGACTGGCCCTTGGGAGACTGGGCTTAGTCCTGGCCCTACCCTTTAGTTAGTCCCTACAGGACACTGAGCAAGCCACTCACCTTTCACTTTGCTTCTTTGTAAAGTGAAGGATTTGGATTAGGGGAGACACCAGGAATGCAGACATGATCACTGATACCTGTAGGAAGTGTCTCTATAAATCCGGGCATCGGTTCTCAAGGACCCACCTCTTCTGTGCGCTCTGAGGACAGAACTGTCTTCTAAGACCGGGGCTAGCATCTGTTCAGTAACATCGGAGGCCATGTTCCCTAAGCCCACTGTTTGGAGGTTTGATGGTTGGTGTGGGATGGTGGTGACATTAAACAAGAAGCATGGGAATGCCCTACCCTTTCCTTACTCACTTGTCCCTTCCTTCTCTTTTTTCATATTCCAGTAATTAAGAGTTTTATGTACACAATCTCCATTTATAAACTGCAGATAGCTCATGGGAGTGTGAAAGCCACCAATTGTTTTTTTTTCTTTCTTTTTTTAAAAATTTTTTGTACTGTCTTATGGTGCTGATAAAGTCAATTTAACCAATTGTTCATACCCTACTATGAAATACTCAATTCTAGCCATTGGAAGACTTTTTGTTTAACTGCTATCTGTTGCATTAATAAATTAGAGTGGGCAGATAATGTCACATGGATGCTGGGCTCCTGGTTCCTGAGGAAGGGGACAGAGGAACCCACCTAGGTGGGGATGGCAGCAAACAGCCACTGATTTGCCAGTGCTCTGGTAATGGCGCTATCACCATCACTTTTGATGTTTTTGGTAGAAATCCCCTAAACTAGTAATGCTTCATTTAGACCATCTTTGGGTGAGATTATTATCATCCTTTCTTATTTTGTTAAAGACTGTGGGAATCAAACATACTGTTTGCCCAGGAACTGGCTAAGGCTTTGGTTACTATAATTCTGATTTTTCATGTGAGCTTAAATCTCAGTTTGTCCCCAGATATTATTTATTCAACTCTCACTTAGGTCGCACAATCGCTGTTCCATTCAGGTCGGTCCTGTGCAGTATTGTGGGGGAAGAAGCAACTTCTTTGCTCTTGATTCTTTGGGCTCTCTCTCCTTTTCCCCTAGTATATCCCTTCCTAGCCCATGTATTCTACATGGCTTATGCATGCAGATTTACTTGCATTTACTTGTATTTAGTTGCAATTATAGTTTTTCCTTTTTCTTTGGTACAACAAAATTAATAAAGAATCCTTAGGCATAATTTGTGTGTTCCTGTAGTCTCTGCCCCATTGTCTGGAAAACCACAAACTTCATTTAGATGCCAGTGAATCCGTCATCAGGCTTAGGGTAAGCCATGCATTTACCAAGATCCTTACTTGAGCAGTGGTTTAGCTGTTTAATCTTTTGTTTATAATTTTACAGTTGCTGAAACAGAAGGAAAATGCACTCCCTTGGAGAAGCATGACCTTTTTGTGTTGCTTCCTACTGCTGTTGTTGAGCTCCTTGGACCCTGCCTCCTGGACACCATCATCAAGAAGACTTTATGGATGGGCCATCCACTCCCTGAGAGAAGAGGAGCATCAGCTGCAGTTTCTCTCTAGATTGCCTTCTTCATTTTGAGTAATGACTGTCAGCAGGGTCAGATTAAAGACAAAACAATGGGACAACTGCTTGGAGGACTAAATTATAAAGGCACCAACATGTCAGTAGTATGATTTATCAGCCCTTCTCTCAGAGAGGAATCTGTGTGGGGTTGGAAGGAATGGTTTGTTAAATTCCTTAAGGGTGGAAAGCAGGTCATAATCAGAATATAGAGGAATATGCTGTTTGGCTGCAGGGTTTCTGTTTTTCTTACTAGGATACATAAACAGGGACTATAGCTAGATTGTTTATGACCCCAGAAGGTAGGATGAGCACCCCCATGATCCTCTTGCTCAGTTCTTACCCATACAGACCTCAACCTTTCCTCTAATAAAGATTGAACAAGTAGTGATTTGAGGGAGACACCAATTCATTAGCCTACATGTCTCTTCTCTACACTCTAGGGCTTCGATAATAAAGACACTGGCAGGCTGTCTGTCTTCCACTTCTATAATGTGAGCCCTTAAGCACTCTTCGTTCAGTTGGGGGTGAGGGTCATTGCTCACAGAGCAGTTCAAGTCTTTACCTAGGGACCCGGTGGTCAAACTCTGTATTGAGTTCATTAGATTACTGGAGACACAAGGTAGAGCTGGGCCCTTCAAAAATACTTGGCTAAAGGATGACATTGCTCGTTATTTGTAGATAAAGCCATCATGGAACACGCCTGGAATCATGAAATATGGAACCAGTAGTCATGTTTAATAATGCAACTAACAGTCAAGTACCTACTGGACACTGAAGAGACTTAGGGGCAAGATAGATATGGTACCTGCCCTCATGGAGTTTACACCATAGCTTTCCCGTAGGTATGAAGAACAGTGGCTACAGCTAGCAAATGGCTACAAAGATATTCTTGAGCCAATGTTCCAATTATTAGGCTAATTCCTGTTTCCTTAATCATGCCTACTGACCATGTTCTATAAGCCTGCATTCTATAAATGGCCTATGAGCATGGGCTGTTTCCCCCCAGCAAATTTTGCAAAGTCCTGTGGTACCAGGGAAAGGGCTTAAGATTAGCAGGGCCTCTGGGGAAGGACATATGAAGTGACTTGGGTCAGGAAACAGGAAGGGATAGGGTTCAAGAAACAGCTATTGCTTTTGTTCTATATAGGAAACTGCAATGTGAAAAATGCTGGGCTGGGAATTTTGAGACATGGGTTTTAGTTTGTGTTCTAATACTAACAAGCTGTGTGACTGTGAGTAAGACATTGCACATTCCACTTGGATGCTCCTTGAGTGTCTCCAAACCCCTCCTACTCTAAAACGTTAAGATCAGGCCCTAGGCTACAGCTGGCCAGTTTGTAATTTTCCTGTTTCTATGCTGTTAGGCCAAATAGATCTTCAACAGTTACTTGATTATTACTTTTTTTCTGAAGTGGGTGTTTTGTCAATGTTTTAGGATACAGTGAGTCTGCTTCTCCCCTTTGAAGTTAGGAAGGTTGCAGCAACATACACTGTAGAACGTATGGAAGCTTTATTCCCGTTTTTCCCACCCCCCGTCTTTCTCCCACTCCTTCTCTTCCTCATATTTCTATTGAACATATGCCATTGCCATGTACCAGTTATGTGCTAGGTTTAGAGATACAAGATAAACCTGATACTTTCCCAGACTCCAGGAGACAAAACCCTCCTTTTTTCATCTGCTGGCTTTCTCTTTGGAAAGAATCAGTGATGTCCCAGGGGAGTGTGCCCATGTTCCAGGGTAACCAACTATAGACAGATGCCCCATTCTACTCAAGCAACTTTAGAGTACCTTGAGATCCACATCAGATAATTATTCAGGGCTGGGCATGGTGGTGCACACCTGTAATTGCAGCACTTTGGGAGGCCAAAGCAGCAGATTTCTTGAGCCCAGGAGCTCAAGACCCACTTGGGCAACATGGCAAAACCCCAGCTCTGCAAAAAAAAATACAAAAATTAGCTGTAGTTGGTGGCCTGTGACTGTAGTACAAGCTACTCAGGAGACTGAGGTGGGGGGATTGCTTGAGCCTGGGAGGTTGAGGCTGCAGTGAGCCGAGATCATGCCATTGTGCCATTGCACTCCAGCCTGGATGACGTAGGGAGACTCTATCCCAGAAAAAAAAAAAAGATAATCATTCTATCCTAGAGTCATTGTGGAAAGATCTATCTTCAGATATAAGGAAGAAATAGTCTTTATTTCTTAGGATAAATCTGTAGAAGGACAGTCCTTCAGACAGTGAAGGCCCTGACAACTTTATACTCTGTAACCCATCCCTTCCCTGGTAGGTAGGACTACTTCTTAAACTTACAAAGTACCTCTAGGCAAATAGACATTTTCATATATACTGTGCTTCATATATCCCTATGTCTGATGACCTCTTTAAAAAGGAAAGGAAAAAGCCTAATCACACAAAAAGATGTTGCTATTCTTACCCTATTGTGAATCCTATATAAGCAAATTCATATCTTTGTTTTTTTCCAACATTAGCAGATCTATTTGATGTATATCTCTGAGTGCAGAAAATATTTTACAGAAAGATAAATCTATGGAATTTCAAATTCAGAATTGTTGATACCTGCTATTTGGTTTGAGAATTTTGTCCTGGGAAATAGTATTAGGGATTTCAATTTCTGACTTAAATGGTAGAATTAGTTACTCTTAACTCTTGATTTTACTTCTGAGTTGAGGTCAAGGAACAGGCAGATACCTCCAGTTAATGTCTGTATCTCTCCATGACCAAGAGCTTTAATTTTCTTGTCTTCATTTTTGCAGATGAACATCATTACTAAATGGATTGATTAGTATTTTATCTTCTCTCCTTGTCCTTACTTTCCCTCTGGTAAATATGTTATAAACAGTGTAAGGCTCATAAATTAGAATCGCTGGTAGGACTTGGAAGAGAAACAAAGGGCATTGATAACTCACACAAATGGAAAATCAACCCTGAAATAATTGACAATATATTCAAATATTTTGGTGCAGTCTCACTCCCATTAAGAAGAAGAGACTCAGTAAATCTATATGACCCTAAACATTCTAATGAAAAGGGGAACATTCTGTCAATCAACTCATATTTCTAAATATCTTGATATTGGCCATTGTAAAGACAAACATACAGATGATGGACTTGTCTTTCTACTTCTCATTTGCATGGTCTGGAGCCTTGTACCTCCAGCCATTGACTCTAAGGCAATTTATATTTGTTTCCTCTTCCCTCTTGAGAGAAAACAAAAATCTCACTTTTCCAAGCAATTAAAACTCTTCTGCTTCAGCTAGGATGAAAGAATTTGGAGTTCTGTCTCCTTGTATATAATTGCATGTTTCATCTTCCTTGTTTTAATGATTGACAGAAAACTGATAAACTGAGACATCTTTGAATCAAGGTTGAATATACTCTCTTGGTGGCCCCATTGCTAATTTGTTTGACTATTTTGCAGGATTTCTTTCTCTGTAATGGAAAGGTTTATTAAATATGAGGGGTGCAAAGCTTTCTGAATACTAATGAACTTATTTGCCAAAATTTAAATGTTCTTCTTGTCAGTGAATGTCTGTCTCTCTTAACAGGATCCAAATTGAATAATGAAGAAAATTAGACTCTATTGTACCCTCAGGAGAAATTGTGGTGAATCGTAATAGAATACAGAGGGGGAAAGGGGTCACATTTTAGAAAAAAGAGTAGATAAATTGGATTATAAAAAAAGGGATTAACTCTGGAAAAACTCCATTCTTTTCAAAAAAATGTACTAATAGTCATTCAATGAGCAGGATTTCCCACTGCACAAGCATCTATACCTTTGGCCAGTGTAGAATGAGAGTAAGGTCATAATCATAGGGAGATGCATGCTAGGTTTCAGTGGTTATAATTTACTAACCTCATTCCCATATAAGGATTTTATATGCCTATGATGGAATGGGAAAATCAATAAACTTGGAAAAGGAACACTATTCTTCAGAGAAGTTCAATGAGAGATAGTTGAGTTGGGGAAATTGCCTCAATTCTTCTTTTAAGCATGTAATAAGGCTCTCTCTTTGTATGTTTACTTCCATTGCCTTGGTGTTATCACTGATAAAGTCAATGATCACAATGCCTTTGCCTTGGCAGCACCTGAGGGACACTGGAGGAACCAGGTAGTTATACTCGTGGCCAAAGAGGAAAGCTGCCAGAACTTTAGCAGCCACACAGGAATAAAAGTAGTGTGTGTGTGGAGTGAAATGAAGTGATGGAGGGAAAGTGAAGGAGAATACAAAGGTGGGACTGTGCAGAGATGGGAGTTCATCCCTGTCCTACACTTGAAATAGGAAGGCATGGACTGGAAAAGGATTAGGTGAGGAAGGATCCCCAAGTAGAGAAAATAAAGGGAAGGCTGCATGCCTCCAGTGTTTGCTAAAATTAATTCTCCTGAGATTTCAGGAGGAGAAATGATCAGGAGAAAGGGAAAACAGCCTCAAAGCCTGTAAAGGTTCAAACAAAATATAAACAAAAAAATTTTTAAAGCTACAACTATGCTCTTCTAATAAGAAAGGCTGGACACTAACAGAAAGCTTGATGACAGCAGGATTTGTATTTAGCAATTTATTTAGATCCCTAAGAGAAAAGGCTTATGTGACATAGATTCATAAGATAGAAATGTGTCTTTGGCTAGCTATGATACCAGGCTTCACTCTCAAAGGAGAAAACGAATGGTTGGTGCATCTCAGATGAACACCAACCAACTGTGCAATATTTCATTTGAGAATGCATTTCCTTGTAGTATCCATGATTAAATAAAAAGAGACCTAGTGTATTTGATTGCTTCTGTGGCAAGGCTTGAGAACTACAGACCTAGATTTCCTACTGGGAATGATCATAGGATTTTTAAAATTAAGTAAATGGAAGGAGATTAAGATTCATCTCTATCATTTCAAATAATGATCTGCACCTTTGGAAACAAAGAGGAAGTTGGAAAGTGGGAAGGTGAGGCAGGTGTGCAAAAATGGGGAAAAGGATGCCACAAGCCAACTAAAACTGTACAATTTGTGAGAAAATTAAATGAACAATAGAGTTTGAAGTATAAGTGAGTAATGAGGAATATGAGATAATGAGATATTTAAAAATAGCAAATTACTTGGAAGAGTGAGGATGAATGATGGGAGATGGTTAAGGGATTTGGGAAGGCAAGGAAGAGAAGAGATGCCTGGGATGGGAAACAAAACGTGATTAATGGCTGTAAAAGGGCACGTTTGGACTCTCGATGGCATATCTTTCCAAACTTTGGAGAATGTGCACAACCTAGTAATAAAGAAGGAAAAGATTGAAAGAGTTCATGGTTAACATGAAATTGTGAGGACAATAGAGGAAGCAGTAGGTGTCATTAGTCCTATTAGTCCTCAGGAATGAAAGCATTTCTAGAGAAACTTATTAATCTATGTTCTTCATTTATGAGCAGAATAGTTTTCATCTACTTTTTACAAAAGTTTTATGTATAAAATGAATGCTATTAAAGGAAACAAAAGCTAAGCATTATCAGGAAACTTGAAGAAAAGATTGCACCTAGAAAAACGGAAGTAAACCAGCAAACCTGTTTCAGAGCCTTTTCTATAAAATTTTGAAATTTATCATCTTAATGAAAGAACTGGAAATCGTTTTTTGAAATTGAAATGTGAGTAATAATAAGGGAGAAAATTTTAAGTTATAAATATTTTAGAATGCATTTTTTTTTTTTTTTTGAGACGGAGTGCTCTTGTTGCCTTGGATGGGGTACAATGGCGCAATTTCGGGCCACTACAACCTCTGCCTCCTGGGTTCAAGCGATTCTCCTGCCTTAGCCTCCCAAGTAGCTGGGATGACAGGGATCTGCCACCATGCCCGGCTAATTTAGAATGCATTCTTTTACATTTTTTCCCCATAAAAATGAGAGGAAGCTAAAAACCTTTGGGTATTGCTTTAAACACTTTGGATAAGAGGACTTAGAGTAATGTAAGGTTATTGTTAGTAGCAGAAATAACAATAATTTTTGAAAAATATTAATATTTGCAGCAGGATTAAATGCCAGTGATTATCCTTTTTGCTTTCTTGTGTTTATGTAGGAGATTCCATTCAGCCAGACGGTACCAGACCCCCTTTGGAGAGAAGCTGATAACGTAATTTAGGTGGAAAGGTTTAATGAGATAATGATGCTAAGGCCAGTTAACACCTAATAACAACATAACCACGAGGGATGATATTGTTGCTTATTAATTATAATGATGCAGAGGAAAGAGGCAAGGTGGCACTCATTTAGCAGAGAGTATTCAGGAATAAGGCTGTTTTCCCAAAGGGGAAGTGTTGCAGTCAGAGGAGAAGTAGGTCAACATTTAGCAGAGTTTGAAATTTATGGCCATTGGGTTATACTAGCAACCACAGAACTGAAGGCCAAGCAGGAGGTAACAGATGCCTTCCTGATGGTGGCCAGGGATGGAGTGGAGACTGCTGTGGTTGCTGGGCCATGCACGGAGGCAGACTCCAGGCTGTTTTGGATTCCACAGTGGCCATTCGTGGGCAGACAGGCAGGTGTCCAGAACTGGACTGGATGTGCTTCCAGTTAGTTCTGTGACCTTCCCCTCCACTCCACTGGGTCGGGTGAGTCAGACCCAAGGATAGCTCTTAAGTCAGTGTTGGCACCCAACTTTGTTGAGGGGATCCAGAAGATTCTTTGGTCCTGTTTTTAGAGGTGCAGATCTAGCTGTTATCTGTTGACTTGCATTTATGATTTCTTGGTGTTGGTCATTAACCACATTCCACTTCCTGAATTTACTGTGGGTCTGGTCACCTCCATGTTTGCCCATGATGGCAAAATTGTAGCGTGAATTTATTGCAGCTACTCTAATGTCCATAGTAGTCAGGTGGTCAGGAATAGAGAATTTGAGGAGGAAACAGCCATGTGAAAGAAACATGGAGCTTTTTGGAAATCTTGTGACTCCTCAAGGGAGGCATAGAAGCTTGAAACACAGGACTAGCCTGGGGAAGTTAATTTGGGGCCAGGCAAGGCATATAAAAACTCTACTTCTTATTTACCTCCTTTTCCCGATATGGGTCTCTCTGTGAGTCCTGGATCCTAGGCTTTGCTGCCTCTTTTCTTGGGTCTTCGGATGCCAATGATAGGGGGTGGTTTTCTACACATTTTTGTGTAGTTAATTTTATTAGCTGGATGAAGATTACCTCACAGGATTTTTCTTGTCCTATGTAATGATCTCACTGACCCCTGAAATAGAAAAGAATATTCTCGTCATTAGCTTTTTAATGCAAGTATATTTTATTTTAGTAAATGTGTGGTGTTAGGCAAGAAGTGACAAGAGCTAGACTAGAAAATGGAAGATATAGCTGTAGTCCCAACCCTCATGCCCATCAGCTTTGTCACTGTGGACAAGTTGCATGCCTTTCTGAGCCTCAGTTTCTGCATTCATAAAATGAGGGGTTATTGAGGGTAATCTTTATGGTTAGAAAGCCATGTCCAGCTTTAAAATTATGCATTTATGCTTCTATGGTTCTATAGATCCTACATCTATTAAACTTATATGGGGGAATTAATTGATAAACCCATATAAGAAGAGATATTTCCTTAAATCTACAGTTCAAAGTAGACAATTAAAGTCAGAGTTAACAAGGAACCAATGCCATAACTATTGAGCATTAACTATGTGGCAGGCGCTTCACAGATGAGGAAATAAAGATTTTCCAAAGGTTAAAGAAATAGTTCAAGATCATATAGTCAATAAGGAGTAAGACCAGTGCTCAAACCCAGGCATCCCTGAAATTGAAGCTCATGAACTTCATCACCACTGTGTGCATCTCCCACTGTTTAGAACCCAAATGCTTATGTTTTATAACTTACGGCACCAGCCACCAGAAATTTCTTCAGTCATAATGGTTCCCAACTGGAATGCGGGAGGAAGCAAGGCAAGGAGTAGTTTGAAAACTCTTCCCATTATATTCTGATACACATATGTTTCTGCCTCTAAGTTCAGCTGCTCTCTTTGAGAACTAACTTGGCCAGAGTCATTCTGACATTATTACCTGAGAGTACCTTACTTGAAAATTTTCTGCTATGTGCAGGTTCATGTTTCTGTTTCTTCTTACATGTCTTCAGAGCAGGTAGAGACATTGAACACAATTATTCCTTTTCCAAATAGGGAAGTGAAGCAAAGAGAATTGAATGACTTAACTTTACTCACCTACCTAGTGGTCCCAGAACTGACATCTTCCATGCCTAAGACTAGCTGCCACAAGATATTGTCTTTCTAGCCAATTCAGTTAATAATGTATTTTATATAGAAGGTAAGTTTTACTTTTTTTTTTGTTCTGGAGTTTTCCCTGTAAATGAAGTATTTTAGTGACATTAGGTTTTTGGTCTTTTGTTTTTTTGTAATATCTGTAAAAGCAGCCTCACTGAAAAGTATCAATTGCAATAACCATTGACAAATGCCAGAGAGGAGCATAGTTTCTTAACCAAGAATTTCTGTTAGCAAAA